AAAATGAAGTCCAGACTATATTACGGTGATTCTGATGGGATCTTATTGAACATAAAGCAAGCTTTAAAAAAAATTATAAATGAAAAGTTACTCCTTCCCTAAGATGACCTCATTATGACTACACTAACAGCACTTGCATCTTTTTTACAGTAAAAATATATTGGCATCAAAGTGTAATTACAACTCATTTTTAGCAGTGATACATGAATGTAATTCCAATTATTTACATTCTTCTTAAAAAGAATTTTAGCTGGGCCAGGTGCGGTGGCTCACGCCTGTAATCCCAGCACTTTGGGAGGCCGAGGCGGGTGGATCACGAGGTCAGGAGATCGAGACCATCCTGGCTAACATGGTGAAACCATGTCTCTACTAAAAATAAAAAAAAATTAGCTGGGCGTGGTGGCAGGCGCCTGTAGTCCCAGCTACTCGGGAGGCTGAGGCAGGAGAATGGCGTGAACCTGGGAGGCGGAGCTTGCAATGAGCCGAGATTGTGCCACTGCACTCCAGCCTGGGCAACAGAGCAAGACTCTGTCTCAAAAAAAAAATTTTCAGCTGATTTTCCCCATGGTTTGGGGCACCTAATTTTGCAATAGAAATGCTCAGTACATGTTATTTCCATTTCCTAGTATATAACCTTACACTTAGAATATCATTAAATAGGTTCATAAAATAGCTATCATGTATTTAGTGCCTATTGCTCACCACTTTGTACTTGATAAGTTGCACAGATTAATTTTTCCCTCAAAATAACCCTAAAGAGAATATGACAAATAGCATTTCTTGCTCATAATTTGAGGATATTATTCAAAAAGATTAATTGGAAGGTACACTTTTGTGGCAGCTCACTAAGCTATGCATTTGTATACTTTTCTGTATGTATGTGACACTTCAATTGAAAGGTTTACAAAGAGGAAAAAGTAGCTGAAAGTTAATTCAAGTAGCTATAATACAAACTATCTGTAAAGTGCTGAAATGTTTGGGAGGCCGAGGCGGGCAGATCACGAGGTCAGGAGTTCAAGACCAGCCTGGGCAACATGGTGAAACCCCGTCTCTACTAAAAATACAAAAATTAGCTGGGTGTGGTGGCATGCACCTGTAATCCCAGCTACTTGGGAAGCTGAGACAGGAGAACTGCCTGAACCCAGGAGGTAGAGGTTGCAGTGAGCCAAGATTACGCCACTGCACTCCAGCCTGGGCAACAGAGTGAGATTGTGTCTCGGGAAAAAAAAAAAGTAGACCAAGATCTGGGTATATTTCATATTTTCCAAAATGATGAAATTTCTTCCCATTTCAAAATAGTATTTGTTTTTGAGATTTACCTGAATATTCAAAAGCCATTGTTATGAGTAAAGATGAAGTATCATTTTCATTTAACTTTAAAGGAGGTCTTCTATTCACATGGCTCATTATCAAAGGGTAATGTACTTTTCTTACTTAATGTGATTTATAGTTACAAGAATGTTTCTCCCTTCTTGTGACAGGTTTCGTGATGAGAAAATGAGAGAAAAACAAAGACACCAAGAGGAAAGGCTAAAAGCTGCTCTGGAAAAAGCAGTAGCACAACCAAAGAAAAAGGTTTGTTTTGCTATTAATAGATCCAGCCATATCAATATGTGAGTGCCTCTGTGGTACAAAAACAAAATACTTTATTCGTCTAACTTATCCAGGTTGAACTTCAGAAGGATAATCTTTCTTCTCACAGCTTCAATTGGTCTCTCTGGTTGTTACTTTTAGAATAATTCAAATTAGTGGCTCTCTAGTTCTCAATTAAACACTTTTTAGTAAAAGAAGCCTCTTCTCTCTCCTCTTTTTCTTTAGCCCTAGGTTCATTAAAATCAGGTATTTTTTTTTTTTAGTTTTTTGGAATAGATTATAAAAGCATATTGTTCAAAGTTCAAAAGATACAAGAGTATTCAGTGTAAAGTCAGTCTTCCTCAGCTCCCCTTCCTGGAGGCAACCACTGTTAACAGGTTCATTTGCATCACTCTGGAAATACACATACACATATATGTATTTATGTACATATTCCTTTTCTTACTGATAGCTAGGAACTTGGCTTCTTTCACTCAGTAATGTTTTGGAGATAAGTGAACCCAGAGAATCGCATGTAACTGTGGGGACTGTGTACAATCCCCATATTGTAAAGATAATGAGATTGACAGCTGGAGTCAAAATGATTTGCCCAGAGTCACTATGACGTAGCAGCAGAATTAGGACCAGAAGCCAAAGTTCTTTATTTTGCAAGACCACCTGTCCAATCAGAAGTTTGGGATTAGGCAGTCACGTACATGTGGTCCATCACTTCTACACAGGGTAAGGAGGGCCTTTTGTTTTATATGCCACTCTTTCCCTCCTCTGGGATACAGTCTGAAATATATTCCAGAAGGACAATTTCCTGGTTATCTGCAAAGCTATTGTGGACACTGATTCTTACCATAGTAACAGCTAACGCATAACGAATGCTTACTGTGTGCCTTACAACCAACCTCTTGAGGTAAGAACTTGAAAAAAATTCTGAAATATGGGAATTGTTAATATGTGCCATAGCAAAAAGATGATTACTTCAAAGTATTTTATTGAAATACTTCACCTTAAAAAGGGTATTTATCTAGTTCAATTCTTTCCATGAAGACTTTCCTCACCTGTTCTCTCCTCCCAAGAATTAACCATTCATCACCCTTCCACATGGACTACTTAGTAAACCCACCAAATTGAAATTATTTTTTAATATATTCACCTTTCCTTCTAGACCATGAGTTTTATGACGTTTGTATCCCTAATACCTGGCACATCATGGATACTTGATGTATAGTGAATTAACAGACTAAAAATGAGCATAAAAACTAAACCTGAAAAAAATTGGGGAAAAAATGGTTATCTGATAAATCAACAACACACAATGACCTCTGATAGAAGCTGACCCAATTAGGACACTTCATCATTGGTAATTTTTTCAGACAGTATTAATAACAAATGTTACCAAAGATCTCTGACAGTGAAAAATTCTGATATTGCAGAATGAATTCAGAGATTCTAGTCCCCCAAGGACATTTTTGTTGTTACAGTGATGGGGAAGAGTGCTATTGTTATTTAGGTTCTCTTGGGCCTGCAATGCAGGGGACAATCTCACATAAGAATTGTCCTAAAATGTCAATAGTGCCTTTTGAACACAGTGGCAATGTCCCATCAAATCTCACAGAATTATGGCAGTTTTCGCACTTATACATTTAATTTATACAAATTCAGCTACAAAAGCAAAACAAAATAAAAAGCAGGCAAGGGAATCCCAAAAGTAAAGAGAAAAATAAGTAGTAATATACTTGAGTATATATGCCCCAGAGAGAATGAATAGGTATGAACTAGGGGATTCCCAAAGCCTCTTCTGTTGGGAACACCTCCAGAAGCCAGCCAGTGTTCAAGATGGTACACGGTTTTCTGGACTTAACAAGATTTCTAAATGCTAGTCAGGTGCTCAACAGGAGAAAGCCATCTCTTCCAACCATGAAGGAAAAACTGGCTATGGCACTTACTGAGAAAATGGTGGCCTTCAACATGGTGCTTTTCTAGGTTGACCACATTTGAACCGTATACTACTGGATGACTTTACCTAAGTTTTCCCACTTCCCAATAAAACCTAACTGTTGCTCCTTCTGCATACTTATCGGTGTCCAGTTTGCTACTCAACTTTGCCTAGCATGTTAGACATCCGTTAGGTTACAAGTCCCTTTTAACTGTGATTAGTTAATATTACAAACCACATTATTCCTTGTAAAAATCAAGTTAATATTGGTATTTCACAAATTTCAATAGAAAATGGAAAATATTAAGTATTTTGTTTTTCTTTTCAGTTGGGAAGACGACTTGTCTATCATTCAAAACCTCCATCTGCTAACAAACAGCAGCTACCTTTAGTCAATGAAACAAAAACAAAAGCACAAGAGGAAGAATATTTTTTTACTTGAATAAAAGCAGTAAGACATTTTATTACCAGAATGTCTTAGGTATATTTTGTAAATCTTGGCTTTCACTAATGACAATATTCTGCCCCATGTACCAGGCCTAATCAATTTGAGGAAGACAGGCCCTTATTCTAAGGGCCATAGGATTAGGAATAAGTTATTTTCTTTTGTTGAAGTCTTTATTCATAAGTATTAGTCCATATAGCTCAACATTGTTATCTATACTTTGAGTTGTTCCACTTGGGGATACACAAAGATAGTTTACTGATAAAACTGTATGGTAAATGACCACTGAAGTGTAATAATGGCCATTCTCTTACAACATGAGACTGTAAATGATGTATTTTCTCAACCCATCTGTAGGGAAGTTCATAGCATGCTGTTATTACTATGGAATATACATTTTAACAATGTACAACTCTAAAATATCTGAAGGGTTTTGAAAGGCTTAAAACTTAACCTCGAAGTTATGGTCTCAGAACATAACTGTGAGACCGGTTTTTATTCCACATTACGTTTTGTTCAAAGAACTTTTTTCTCCTTAGTAAACAAATCATATGCCCTCAGCCTGAATGTCAGTTCCCAATTTCTGTTGTGCCCTGTCCGTACAATCATTTTAATTTTTAGAAGATGTTTCAGTTTTAGCTACAATATGTACATTTAGCTTATACTGACACAGAATTAACATGTAATTTATTGACTAAGTAAAATAAGACAGAATATTATTAATGCCAAGAAAATGTTTAATTTTATACATGTTAAAAGTGGCTCAAAAATAACTTGAAAACGTTGCATTTAAAAGGTTGCAGGTAATAGATAATTTTACAAGAAAAGGTCTGAAATTCACCTTCATAAAAATATCTAAAGCATATAATTATCCTTTATGGGGGGGAAAAAAAAAAGAGTATTGAGCTTACAAAAGAAAAGCAACTTAAATGAAATTCGGTGGCTTTTAAAGCATTAGTTCTGTGAGTAATCTTTCCCAACTGGTTCAACATTTGAGCTTTGCTTGTAAATATCTGAATACAAATAGTTCGCAAGTCAAGTTGAAAAACAAACAAATCTTTATTGTCTAGAAATATATATATAAAAAAAAATCCCCAACAAAAGATGCTATTCTCTCATTTCCCCATCTTCTTCCTCTTCTTCCACACCTCTGATATAAAGGACATTATTACACCTGTAAATAGAAAAAGTCCATTTTGTTGTTCCAACCAGAAACTTGTATGATCTGAATTACTGTATTTTTATTATGAAAATACTGAATGCTATATTTACAATATTCTTGTCTTAAAAATTTTTTTAATATATTTGTTTTTAAAAAGAGTTTTACATAGACTTGTTGAAAAGCACATTGCACTTATTTTCCACCATATGGTTGTTAAAATGACACCTTTATGATTTTCCAAAGGAAACAATTACCAGAATTTGAAGCTTTGAAGCTAGTACAGAGAATCAATATAACAAAAATCCTTACAAACAGCCAGACCCAACTAAAATTCAAAACTAAGTTCTTGCAATGAAGGCCACTGCAAAAGGTTGCCACTGTAAAAGGTTATAGCTAAGAGCCAGAAAATTTAACACTAGAAAAATCTTTTGGCCAGTTCTAAAACATTTGAAAACTTACCTTTGACAAGTTTAACAATTTCAAAGACTTTTGAAGACTAATTGTAAAGTATTATAATAGTAATTTTTTTTTAAAGTACTTCCAAAATTGAGGCACTAATATATTTAGAACAGGTATTCCTAATGCTCACCAGTAACTCCTTACATATACCACTGCTGTTTGTTACCTTATTAAAACTTCACCCAGATGTCCAGACAAAGCTCCATCTATGTATTCTTCTGTATTTGCAAGCTTTCAGTAAAAAGAAATAAATTAGTATAATCACACAGGAGGAAAATATTACAATACAGCTAATACTGGTGAGAGAACTTACTATGACCTTCCTATACCAACAACTCAAATTTATCTATAATTAATAAACAGAGGATGAGCTTTCTATTACTACTGTAGTACTTTTGGTTTCATATAAACCTTCAATAAAATTAATATTCATGGATGTAGAACAAATATATAATAAAGTTTGTCTCAACATAAGCCTCTGAATCTCCCAGGTTATGTAATATTTCTTTCCATTAGATATCAAAACAGTGTGTGGAAGAAGGCAGTCTCTATGAATAAATTGTGATTAAAAAGTTTTCTGAAAATTCATTCTAAAGAACAGACGTTAAGTTTTCTCAGAGTAAAACATAAATCATATTGAGGTGTCCAAATGGGTATACAAAAGCTATGGCTAGCATGCCAAATACTTTTATATTAGTCAGCAACCAAAGCAGATAACTGAGTTAGAATTTTCTTCTTTTCCTGTCTTTCAAGAAACAGGGTCTCCCTCTGTTGCCCAGGCTGGAATGCAATGGCACAATCATAGCTGAGCAAAACCTTGAACTCCTGGGCTCCTCCTGCCTCAACCTCCTGAGTAGCTAGGCCTAAAAGCATGTGCCACAAAGTCTGGCTACTTCAAAACAATTTTTTTTTTTTGTAGAGATGAGATCTTGCTATACTGCCCAAGCTGGTCTTGAATTTCTGCCTTCAAGTGATCCTCCTGCCTTGGCCTCCCAAAGTGCTGGGATTACAGGCATGAGCTACCACATCTGGGCCTGAATAAGAAAATTTTTTAAAATTATGTACCAATAAACAGGGAAAAACAAGTTCTTAAGTGAAAGTTAAATAGTTAACAGTGACTTTTACAGTTATTTTGTTGAACCCTATTATTTCTAATTTTATATCAAAATGTTTAGCTTTCCTTCTACATATAGGTAACAATCTTTACTTGTAATTAAAAGAAAAATCACAATCAATGCCACCTGGGACTCAGCAACGGCACTAACAGGAGTGAAGGGAGAGAGGGAGGTTTCCTTCACAACTAGGCACGTGGAAAAGGAAAAGAAAAACACGGCTTAACAATAAGGATTAAAATAGGATGTGACATAAGGCATGAAAAACATGTTAATGAACACTACTACTGGATGTTACTCCCTCTCTTATAGAAAACAAAAAGTCATCTTCATTATCCAGATGATAGTTTTGTCTGAAATATATGAAGTTGTTGAGACAATTAGTTTGTATGTAACGGCTATAAGAAATAATGTACTAAGAGTAACTAATTTTTTGTAAAAGGTAATTACAACATTTAACTGGTTTCTAAACTACACAATAATGCTCCAAATAGTTTCTATCATGTATTAAATTCAGTCTTCACCATCATTTAACAGGCTCTCTATGGCCACCATTCTAACCTAACTTTGTCATTTGTCCCTTAACTCAATCTGCTCTGGCCTTTTTGCTGTGCTTTGAACATACCAAGCATGATTCCACCACAGGGCCTTTGTACTTGCTATTCCCTCAAACTGGGATGCTTTTCCCCAGACACTCACCTGAGTTGTACACTAATTCTGGTATCTTCCAGAATTCGCTTCCTCAGAGTGGCTATCCTATATAATATTGCACATACTGTCTCTCTATTCTCTTTTTCTTCATGCATGGCATCTATCACACCTATTATCACATTATATTACCACCTCCCACCACTAAAACATAAACTCTTGAGGGCAGGGATTTTGTTTTGTTCAATGCTATATTCACAGTGCCAAGCACATAATGGGAATCAATAAATATTTGCTGAGTGAACAAATTCAAACACTGGTATCAATATGGTTGACTACTCAAAGTGGTTGGTTACTTAGACATTTTTTAACTCTGGCAGGGTCACTAGCAAGCTATATTAATTCTAAAACAATTATTAAGTGGTAAATCTTTTATTACTGAGATGTTAATTTCCATAGCATAAAATTCACCCTTTTAAAGTGTACAATTCAGTGGTTTTTAGTATATTCAAAAACCTGTGCAACCTTGTGCAACTATCACCACTAATTCCAGAATATTTTAATCACAATTCATATACTTCCCAGATTTTTCTATGGTCTTGGTAAATGATTCCTGTTTAGGGAATTGTCCAAACTCAAACTATGTTTTGGGGACCTTAGTGTCATGTGCTCAGGTGGTAATTGCCTAAGTTAAGGAAAATCATAGCTCTCTGCCTACTTAAGTACTCCTTTGAGTACTCTGCTAACAAGTATGGAATCCTTGGATTCATGATTGGATTGACCACCTGTCTTGATAGCCTTTAAAAACCTGGTGGGAAACTACTACTATTAAAAAACAACAACCCCAAACTAATTTTTTAAATATGCAAAAGACATTAACAGGCATTTCTCCAAAGATAAACGAATGGCCAATAAACACATGAAAAGGTGCTCAACATCATTAGCCATTAGGAAAATGCAAATCAAAACCACAATAAGATACCACTTCACACCCATTAGAATAACTATTTTATAAACACCCATAGAAAATAACAAGTGTTGGTGAGGATGTGGAGAAACTGGAACCCTTGTGCATTGCTGGTGGGTATGGAAAACCACGTAGTTGCTGTGGAAAATAGCGTGACAGTTATTCAAAAGGAAAAAAAAAATTTTTTTTGTTTTTTGAGACAGGGTCTTATTCTGTTATCCAGACTAGAGTGCAGTGATGTGATCACGGTTCACTGCAGCTTCAACCTCCCCACGCTCAGGTGATCCTCCCACCTCAGCTTCCTGAGTAGCTGGGAATACAGGTGCCCACACCACCATGCCTAGCTAATTTTTGTATTTTTTTTGTAGAGACGCAGTTTTGCTATCTTGCCCAGGCTAATCTCAAACTCCTGGGCTCAAGCAATCTGCTACCTCAGCCTCACAAAGTGCTGGGATTACAGGCATGAGCCACCACGCTTGGTCTCCTTAAAAATTAAACTTGGAATTACCAGTAATCCAGTAATTCCACTTCTGGGTATATACCCCAAAGAGCTGAAAGCAGGGACTCGAACAGACATTTGTATATCCGTGTTCACAGCAGCATTACTTACTACAGTCCAAAGAGGGAAGCAACCCAGTGTTCACCAAGAGGCAAACAGATTAGAATGTGGTATATCCATACAATGGAATATTATTCAGTCATAAAAAGGAAGTTCTGACACATGCTACAACATGGATGAACCTTGAATAATACACTACGCTATGTCAAACAAGCCAGACACAAAAGGATAAATACACGATTCCATCTGTATGAGGTATTATGCATGGTCAAATTCACAGACATGTAGAATAGTGGTTACCATGGGTTAGCTAGGTGAAGGAAGCAATGGAAACTTATTGTTTAAAGTTTAATTGTAAAATTATTGTTTAATGGAAAATTACTGTTTAATGGGCAAAAAATGTCACTTTTGGATGATAAAAAAGTTCTGGAAATGGATAATGGTAATGGCTGTAGAACAATGTTAAGGTACTTAGTGCCACTGAATTATACACTTAAAAATGGTTAAGAGTGGCAAAATTGTAATGTATATTTTACCACAATAAAAAGAAAATTAATTACAAAAAAAACCCCACCAAAACACATGGCTGAATCATTTACAGAAACTCATTTGACAGACATACAGTCAGTTCAATTTCTTCGGCAGATGTGTCTTTCCCCTGAAGGAATGAATTTCCTCAATAACTTTGGTGTTGTGCCTTTAGCATCATTCATTAAAAGACTCATGAATTTCACTTGAAAACTTTCTTTCAGGGCTAAATGATGAGAAATGTTTTGTTTTCTCCAGCAAAGTAGTGTGTTTCCCTTAGAGTATTATTATGAATTAAATGTCTGAGCTCCTCTTACTTTAACTACTAGGAATAAAATCTGTGGCTGAATTCTGGTTTAAGTCCATGTCTTGTACCTAGTGTATCATAGTATCCTCCCTGGCTTTGACTTTATTTTTTAATTTTGCCGTACATTTGTCAATTTAATTGTATGTATTCTTATTAGTCAGACTAAACCTTTGAGCAATAAGGTGAAGCAAACTAAATGCAATGTTATGACCTTTACAGCTCTTTAGCTTACCTGCATGTTCATGTAGCCATCTACAGATACCAGATAGCCCTTGTACTCCATTCCCCACTTAAGTTTCACCATCACTGGCTTTCCTGTTAGTCCATTGAGGAAAGGTTTGGGATTGAGGGGTAAACTCTGCACAAAGAACAAAAAAGGATCCAATTAATTATTTTTCCTCCCACCACCAACTCTCTTCTACTAAATACCAATATTTTGTGGTATGCAAATGAAGAAAACTCTTGACTCATTATTTTAGTACACAATTTTCACTTTTATTTATTGGAGAGTACCAGGGAAATTTAAATATCCAGTTAGCCAGTATCACCTTTAACCCATCAAAACAAAATACTCACTATTCACTTAAGATAACACCGACTACATACATCACTTACTGTTCTGAGCTCTAAAGAAACAAAGATAAAGGCACTTAAAAAAAAAAAATGCGGGCCAGAAAGGGTGGCTCATATCTGTAATTCCAGCATTCTGGAAGGCCAAGGCAGGGGGATCACTTGAGGCCAGAATTTCAAGACCAGCCCAGGCAACATAGTGAGACCACCTTCTCTACCAAAAATAGTCAGATGTGGTGGTGCACACCTGTAGTCCCAGCTACTAGGGAACAGAGCAAGACCTTGTCATAAATAAATAACAGAGTCCCTGTCAAGAAGTTGGAGATGGGGAGGGGGGCTCCTCACATACAAATAATTATACTGCATATTGCAACATAATAAGAGGAGATATACTAGGCACAAGGGTACCAAAGCAATCCAGGGAAAAAAGGAAAGGTTGCCTGAAATAAGTAATACGTCAGTTTTAAAGAATGAGAATTTATTTCCTGTTCCAGGCAAGGCTAGCTACTTATGTAAAAGGAGGGAAGAGTGAAGCAACAAGGTGATTTTGGGGACATACAATTCAGCATTGTCAGTCAAAGTCCCAAATATAAGACTACAGAAGGAAGCAGAGGGCAGATCACGCTTGACAGTCTTTAACTGTGGAAGCTAGGGCTAGGTCCTAAATGACTTTGTCACTAGCACTGCCTCTTATAGCAATCACTTAAAGTTTGTTCAGCAAACCATTAACATCTCCAGTGAATTCGGTTTTTGCCCTTTTCTGCTCACTCACCAGTCAAAGAAAGAACAGAACTAAGAAACTTGGCTACTAACCCCCTCTAACATAAGCATATTCGGAGTGACTTGATAGGGCGATTACTCCAATAACCTAATGGGTCTCCAGTTTTCATTCTCCAATTTATTATCCACCACAGCAACATGATTTTTTAAAGTGCACATCAAATTGTCATATTTCTGCTTAAAATGATTCAATGGCTTCCAACTCAATCATTTTCAATTGATTTGGAGTACAATCAAAACCTCCCAATACAGCCTAAGAGGTCCTGCCCAACGCCTGCTCCTCCGACACCATCTCGTAACCACTCTTCCTGCAAGTGGCTGTACCTTTTTGTGAATTTCTCCAACTGACCAAGCTTTCTTTCCGGCCGCAGGTCTTATGCTCCTATTCCCTGTGCTCGGTACACTCCTCCTCCTGCTCTTTAAAGGGTCTATTTCATGACACTTAGGCTTCAGGTTAAATTCCACCTCCTAGGGAGGCCATCTCTGACTAAGCCTCTAAATGTCTAACGCGCACCCTCACAGCCTCCTGTCTGCATTCTTCTTAGCACTTATTACTTGCAATTGCATATTTGTTATTTTTTGACTGTCTGTCTTCCCCAACCAACTGAGTTAAACTAGAGCATGGCCGTATCATTACTTTCATGCAATGAAAGTGAATTTTGGAGTGTGGTTAAGTGGGAAGTGCAAATTCTCTTTGAGTTTTACCCCGACCCTGTAGCCACAAATAAGAATATCCCAAGCCCGTATTCAAACAAAGAGGAGAAGGCACGGGCACTCCTAGGAAAAGAAAGGCATCGGGAGGAGCACGCGCCTCAGAAATCCTAAAAACAGAGTGAGAGAAGCTGGCGACCGGGTGCGCGGCGCCTCACGCGGATGAATGGGAAACGCGCGAAGCAACCACTAGGCCCCGCGAGGTGGTCTCCCTCCTTCTCTTTCTCCCCGCTTCTCCCGCCGTTCTCGTTCTCCTTACCATCGTAACCACGGCCGAATATTGCAGGCTACTCACTGCCGACCAGGCTGCCGCTTGTCCCTCGTGACTACAGCAGGTACCCCAGGTCCCGAGCCGCTGAGTTTCAAGAAAAATGGCCGCCAAACAGGAGTGTGACCTTTCACCTCCCACCACGGCCCTTTCTGCCTCTGTGATTGGACAAAAAGAGATGCGCGCTGATTGGAGGAGATGGTTGGACCATTATCTCCTGGCAACCAGCAGCGGCTTGAGTTTGCGCCTGACCGGCTGCGCGCGGGTCTTGGGAAACCCGCTCTGAGGAGCAAGGTGAGGCAGCCAAGGACTGGAGGCAGGCCGGTGTTGTAAATGTGCGGTCTGGGAGAGGCTGTGTAACAGATGTGACTTCTCCCCAACTTGGTTAATGGGGATTTTACTTTGTCTTTTTACACCCGTGAGAATGTTCAGGATCCCAGAGTTCCTTCCTCACTCTTCCAACAGGTTCCGTGATTTGGGGGCGCCTCTGCCGCAGGTCGTTTCTACCTGAGTATTCTCTCTTCTGCAACACCCATTTCAACCCCTTTTAAAGGAATTCGGGGGTAGCCAGACAAGACTAGGGGCGGTGAAACGCACCGAAGGGAGTCGGATACAGAATTTATTTTAAACGAGGTCAGGTTGTGTCTGGGATACGGTGTCATGTCCCCCCACCCCCCACGACCCCGCCGGCCCCATCTTTCTTTTGCATCGCCAGCAGAGACTGGCACGGCCTTCTTACGTGCATTTGAAATTACCTAAGGGCGTAAGCAATATTTCCGCTGTCACGGATTAAAACTTTCGACGTAACGGTGTTATCCGAATCTCACTGGTTTTTGTCGTAATCCTAGTGAGTTCGGCTCACTCTGATCTGAAATGCTAAATGCAGTTCTTGGAGAACACGCCCTTTGGGAAGTAACGCTTTTTTGCGGCCCTGAAGAGGTGGATTTGAGGTTGAGGATGAAATGTTGGTTGTTGAGGCACTGTGGAGCAGTGGGCAAGACTTTGGAGAGGGCCTGCATTCGGAACCTGCGTCTATCAGGCGCAGCCGGTGTTGGGCAGTGTCTTAACCCCCAGGGCCACTGTTTCTACGGCAGGAACGCGGCTTTAAAAACGGAACCATCCTCAGCGTGGTTGCGAGAATTTAACCTAAAACGGGGCTTGGCCTTGTAAAAGCTCAGTGTTTCACATAAGTGTTGAACACTGACAAGACAGTCATTGTCAGTGTAGTTTTTACGAAACAGCTATTAGATTTATTCACCCTAAACTTAAGTGGATTTCTCCCTTAGTTTGTCTATTGTTTCATGAACTTTAAGTCTTTGTACAGACTTTGAGTTCCTACTATGTGTCAGACTCTTTCAACAATTGTGGAAATCTTACCTTACCGTCTGATTCGGCGTGACAGCCCCGTTTTAGAGATGAGGAAGCAGGCCCAGCAGGTAACTGTTACCAGTTGAGGGTAGCTGTCCGAGTTCTTGCCGTTTTCAACAAAGAATTGGACAAAACGCACAAACAAAGCAAGGCAGCGAAAGCAGAGATTTATTTTAAATGAAAGTACACTCCACAGGGTGGGCACCGCCTGGTGCAAGCGGCTCAAGAGCATTGGTCACAGAATTTTCTGGGGTTTGAATGCCCTCTAGAGGTTTCCCATTGGCCCACAACCGGTCCGATTGGTTGCAGGAGGGGACCAATAAGAGGTACTTTCATTTTTCAACTGCCGCGCAGAAAAAGGAGGGGTTGAAATGGGAGTAGCCTCTGATACCCAGTCAGCATGAATGGGCCTTAGGTTCCCTGCCTCCAGCCGCTATTCTTCTGCCTCATAACCTGCTCAGGACCACATACCTGGGTTTCAAAACTCTGCTTTTTCTACTTCATGAAGCTGCCTTTCAAAGACTCAATATGTACTTGAGAAGCCTGACTCTTTAGCTGTTTTCTCAGTGAAGTGAAGCAAAATACTACAATAAACACATTATGTAAAGATTGTGCATTTAAGTTTGGTTTTTCTCTTCATGTTAATTATTATTATTTTTTTTTTCGAGACAGTCTCATTCTGTCACCCAGGCTGGACTGCAGATGTGTGATCTTGGCTTACTGAAGCCTTGACCTCTTGGACTCAAGAGGTCCTCCCACTTCAACCTCCCGAGTAGCTGGGACCACAGGCATGTGCTACCACACCCAGGTAATTTTTAAATTTCTTTTTGTAGAGATAGGGTCTTGCTTTGTTGTCCAGGCTGGTCTCAAACTCCTGGGCTCCAGCTGTGCACCCATCTTGGCCTCCGAAAGTGCTGGGATTACAGGTGCGAACCACCATTCCTGGCCCATATTAAATTTTAATCTTAAATACCTTATTAAAATTAAGTGGGCATAAGTCATTGATATTTTTCTAATTATAAATATTATACAAAATTTTGGAAAATATAGAAATTCTAAACAATAAACCTAAAATCACTAGTAATCCCACCAATCAAAGAAAACTGTTAACTTTTATTGTAACATATGTACTTTTTTTTTTTACAACAGCTGTACAGTTTTTTTGCTGTTTGTTTTTTGTTTTGTTGTTGTTGTTGTTGTTGTTGTTGTTTTGGAGACAAGTCTCACTCTTTCACCCAGGCTGGAGTTAAGTGGTGCGACCTTAGCTCACTGCAACCTCCGCCTCCCAGATTCAAGCAATTCTCGTGTCTCAGCCTCCCAAGTAGCTGGGACTACAGGCATGCAGCATCACGTCCAGCTAATGTTTTGCTAATTTTTTAAAATTTATTTTTAGTAGGTATGGGGTCTTACCACTTTGCCCAGGCTGATCTTGAACTCCTGAGCTCAGGCAATCCACCCGCCTCAGCCTACCAAAGTGCTAGGATTACAGGTGTGAGCCACCACACCCGGCCTACACACAGTTTTGTAACTTGTTTTCTTCACTTTATATTGAGCAAATTCTCATATGACTAAATATACTCTTCTAAAGTGTGGGTGGCTTAATATCTTCATTATACTTTGTATTTTGCATCTGTGATAACATATTATTCTATTATTTTCATTTTTCCTCCTGTTATAAACAGTCTGCACTGAATATACTTTTACATGAATCTTCGAGTGTATTTTTGATTCTTTACCATAAATTCTTAAAAATACAATTCCTAGGTTATAAGCCTTTACTATTTTAAAAGCAAATATATATATTGCCATGTTGGCATATAGCGCCACAGAATATTCATCAGAATAATTGGTTCAAATATAGGGGAAATAACAGGCTTTATATTTTTCAAAGATGAGATAGAATACATTTTGAGCACATATGAAGAAAATGACCCCTAATTGTTAATTAGGATGAACAGTTTGGTGAGTTCTACCATTATTTATCCTATAACACAAAAGTTCCAGTGGTATACAATCATCTAAAAAGGAATTTATGAAATGATTTAGAAATATTTACTGAGGTGAGTAAAATGAATGTGTAATGTCTGCCCTTGTGGAACTTTAAAACCTCTTTGATAAGAAGGGGACCAATATGTATTGAATGCCTTTCATGTTATGCCAGGATATTTTATTATGTAATTTGTCTAATTTAAATCCTCACAGTACTTCAAGGTAGATATTATTATAATCCCCATTTTAGAGATGAGGAGACAGCTTCAGAGAGATTATGTATTTTTGTCAAAAGCCATGTGGAAGGTAAAATGGCTCCAAAGCCTAAGATTTTTCCTTTATACCACGCTGCCGCTCCCAAAAATGTGGTTAAGTAGAGTACAAATAAACAAATATATAGAAATACAAATATTAATGCAGGATGAAGAGGGATAGCATTTACGAAGTTACTTTTGAAATTGATGAGCTCTTCTTTTTATTTTGTTTATTCTCATAATTCCAACATCTTATTATTTTTTTTTATTATGGCCAGAATCAGCTACAGGTATGGTCGGAATAGGTTTAAAGGAGGAAAAATCCAAGATTTGAGTGCTTTCTGTCTGGTGGAAGCTTTTTGTATATATTTTTGTCAAACCTGAGAGATACGGTATTCTGTCTAGCGAAGAAGTTAAGATTAAAAAATATATGAGCTTCCTTGGATCATACAAACACTGAATCTAGATTAGAATTCAAATCTTTTTGGTGGTTCAAAGCCCATTGTACCACTGTAGAGAGACAATCATACATCAAAGGTGTAGGAACATTAAGAACCCCCTTCTCACCTCTTGAGGTTTGATATTTGAGTCTGAGAAATAAATAGACGATAGACCAATTACAAGGAGAAAAAGCACAGCGTAATTGATTTATGCGCAGGGGAGCATCACAGGAAGCTGAATGCCCAATTCTAGTAGCACTAGACCCAATAAGGTCTAGAAGTTTATATACCCTTATTCACAGGGGAGAAGGGAATGCAGGATGTAAGCAATTTTAGAAGAGTAATGATTTTTATGAGATGAATGGGTCCATAGAACAGACAATAGTCTGGGACAAAGTTCATCTGGGCTGTAGGTACGGTGTTTGATTTTCAGTCTTTTCCTCTGTGATATGAGTTTAATTTTCCTTGGTTAATGAAATTTCAGTAAGAAGACTGAAGACAATTGTTTTCCTCTTCAGTGGATTGGATATTTAAGTAGATAAGGGAACTTCAGAGAAAAGTCTCTTCCTGTGCTTCAGGAGAGGAGGAGGGGCAAGAGATAGGGGGTGGGAGAAGGTCAGAGACAGACCCTAGTTCTGAGGCTGCTGCTTTAGTACAAAGTATTGGTATGTGAAAGCACCATGCTTTGGGGTATCATTTTCTGAACCCCAACAAAGGAAACTTGGTATTGTGGTTAGGAGCCACGACTGTCTGAGTTCAAATCCTGTCTTTGCCACGTGCAGGTTATCTCTGCTTCAATCTCCTCATCAATAAAGAGGATGATCATGATAGTACCCATCTTAAAAAAATTTTTTTTTAATCAGGTGGGCTCTACTTATGTTGCCCAGGCTGGTCTCAAACTCCTGGGCTCAAGCAGTCCTCCTGTCTCAGTCTCCCAAGTGGCTGGGATTACAGGTGTATACCACCATGCCCAGATCAATACCCATCTTATAAGGCTGCTATTAGGATACAATATTTGTGGTATTTATCCATCTCCTGATACTGAATAGTTTCTGTAGCAAGGTACATAGGCACGTGAGTAGGTCAATGTGACCTACTAATAACTAACACTAATTACTAATATGGGACTACTTGTTTACTGCTTGCTAAACTGCTGCTTGCTCAAAAAGTTCTGGGCCGTTGGCTCTGATTCCTCAGCTGTGCTGGAATCCACTGTGCGCCTGACATCTATCTGTCTAGGTCTATCACTTCACCTCTTGGGACTTGGGGGGCAAAGGAGGCTGACACAACTATGACGATGCTTCTGCTGTTTGCTGTGTGTAGTAAACTGTCTTGTTCTGATCCGTTGAGTCTCATT